TCATTTGAACTTAAGAATTTTTTTAAAAAATTTTATTACTCTAACGGATTATTTATTAATATATAAGTATTCACAGACATTCATCAAATAATCTACAGATATTTGCATAAATTTGTAACACATAAAAATGATCTGTCTATCTAAATATTTGTGTTATCTGTGTAGATTATAATTTATAGATCACTTCTCTATAGTGCGTCATATTAATACTAAATCACATGATTTACCTGTGATTATACAAAGAGTATTTTTCTTATATTTACTATGATACTGAAACTGATAATTAGTGTGATTGTGCTTATAATGATATAGTGACTAAAAAAGAGGTATTTTATTATTTAAAAAATCGGGACTGAGTCTTGATGTGATTAAAGAAGAGGAGTGACTATATAGGAGGTGACTATAAAGAGGGATGACTATATATCAAATTATACTAAATAAATATAGCATAGCAAGCTTTTTCTATTATTGGCTAATTATACACTAATATGATTAGCTAATAACCAATTATATGACTATTTGTTCTAATAAAAAATTTAAAAATTTTAATTTTTTAAGTCTGAAATCATTAATAATTATATGAAAATATTATGTCAAATTATTTTTAATAAGTGAAAAATATATTAAAATATTTTTTATTAAATTATATTAATGTAAAATATATTTAGATATTTATCTAAATTACAGTTCATTATTAGTTATTTGGTTTAAAAATTTTAAATCAAAATTATACAATAAAGTTAAAAAATGAAAGAATAGTTGTACATTATCTATTATTTATTAGAAATAATCTAACCTCCTCTTTTATTTGTATAAATAAATAAAATAAATCTTAAAATATATACCAATATATAATTCAATTTTCAATCTCTTTCTCTCTCTCTCTCTATATACATATAAAATAATATATTGCAAAGAAACCCTTATTAACTAAGTTTTGAATTACCTTGCTTTTTACCAAATTACTTTGACAGTTTATAAAACAGAAGGATACTTTAGAAATTTTTTTATCTTAACCTTTGCGAATATATCCCTGTAGCTGCGAATCTATTTAAAGATTGATGATCATCTTTTTTATATGAAATTAATATGATGTGATGATCATTTTAAAAATCAACCAATCAGGCTTAAACTCGCTATGCTAATAAATACTATATAACATTTAATGAATTATAATTTAATATAGTATATATATAAATAATTCTTTTTATAGTGAATTTATTTATACTAAATTATTTTTTTATACAATAAAGATTTTTTTCAAAGCTGTAAAAATTAAGAAAAAATTTTTTTGACTATAAAAGATAATTTAACATTTATTTTTTTCTTAATTATAGTAAATATATATTCTTTAATATTAAATAAATTAAGAAAAATAGGTTTTTACATTTTGTGTTTCATATTTATATAGTCTACCTTTAATATAGCGAATTTTGATATAATAAACTATTTGATATTTGACCAATAAATATGTTAAGTTTTTCTCTTTATAATGAAATAACTAATTAAATCCTTCAAATTTTTCACTAATTTGCTATAATAAAATTAAGGTGCAAAATAGCTACTTCGTTATATTAAGGATAGACTGTATTGTATTTCATCTACTTTTTCATTACATATTATTTTAAAAAAAATACTAAGTATTCTATTTTACTTTTTCTATTATATAATTTTTTAAAAATGCTAAAAAACCAAGTCAACTTTAATTTATCTAAGATCTCTAGAAAATGTAAATTCCTTACTGTAGCATAAAAAAGTTTATTTAAAAAAATTATTTTCACTTTTTTTAAAAAACAAAAACTTAGCTAGTGAATTTAATATTAGTGAAGGAATAATTTATGATATTTTAAAAGCAAAAGACTATTGGCTTGCTATAGATCTTAATTCATATTAAACTAATTTAAAATATGAAAAAAACATATTTTCTAATATTGAAAAAGTATTAATCATTTGAATAGAAAATGCCATTTAAATTAGTCTTATTATAACTGATAATATTCTTTCAACTAAGGTCTTAGAGTTTGCTTTTTTACTTAAGAAAATAAATTTAAAGGTTTTAATGAATGGATTGATGAGTATATAACTCAAAAAAAAATAATCAAATTTATTCATCCTTCTTACTTATAATGTAATTGAAAATGAAAAATTACCTTTATTCATATATAAGTATAAAAATTCTAGGCTCTTAAAATATTGATAAAAAAAACTCCCAGTAGATTATTACTAGAATCAAAAAAAGTTGGATGCAGGTATCAATTTAGAACGAATATATTAAAAAATTTAATACCCAAATGAGAAGGCAAAATCAAAATATTCTTTTTCTTATTGATAATACTCCCACTTATGCTTTATACAAAACCACTTATCTAACTAATATTATTGAATATTTACCTCTAAATATTACAGTACATCTTAAACCTTATGATCAAGAAATAATCAATAATTTTAAGGTAAGAATTGTAGTTGATTGAAATATTATTATACTTTATATTTTATTTATACTTTAATTCAAATTCAGCTTATTTAGGCACAGTATCAGAAGTTATATCGATTCTTCTACATAAGGTTCGTGAGCATCCATGGTGTCAGGTAAGACATGTGGGTGCTGTGGTCATATCCATCGAAAATTGGGTGATCCAAAGTGTTCCGTTGCCCCAGTTGTGCAGCTGAGCTTGATCGGGATATCAATGGTGTTCGAAATATATTACTTCGCTATCTCACCCTGCTACATCCCATTCAAAACCAAGAGCCGGTTTATGTCTGCGCTGGGTACCCCCTGGGATCTTCATGATCCTTGCAGAACATGTATATTTCCTTATTGGCATGATCAGAAATGGGAAAGTTTAATTGTAAGATACGTCATGTTTAACAAAATTATTTGTTATATTGATTTGTTATTAAAGGGTGATTTTTGTAGTTTATATTATTTAATCATAAATTTACAACAGAACACGAATTTTCGTCTATATCATAAATTTATTATAGAACCCGAATTTATGTCGTTAAATAATTTTTCACGTTAGCTTTTATTTAAATAATATATCGACATACAAAAAACAAATCAAATTAATTTTCTAACTTTGGTCCATCGGTAATGCTTATATTATGTTTTTCTAACATTATACATGCTTCTTTATGTTCTTTTATAGCAGCTAATCTTAAAAAATGAATTCCTTTTTGTCTATTATCCAATCTTAATTTTTTATTAAAGTAAGCATCCCCCAAATTATATCGAGCGACCGTATTTCCACCTTCAGCTGCCAAAGTTAAATATTTGATGAATTCATTGAGATTTTTCTTATTTTTTAATTCTTGTGTAGCCTTTAAAGCAAATGCGTAGCGAAGCTGTGCATCAGGAATCCCTTGATCGGCCGCCTCCTTAAATAATTTAGCAGACTCATTAGGATTTTTTGGTACGAACTTTCCTTCCCATAAATAATAGCCCATCCAATATTTTGCATGTGCATTTCCATTTTCTGCATGATATTTGAAACATTCCCAAGCTACATCAGTTTTTTTATCTTTATGTGCTTTTATTCCTTCTTCCAATGATAATACTGTTGATATTTCTAAATCAAATGAGAGATCCTCAAATTCAGGTAATTCCATATCCGCATCACTAACTGATGGCGGTGGAGGTTTACTTGACCCATCAAAATCCAAAGTTTTTTGTGGAAGTAAGTTTGAATTACAATCTTGTTCCATAAAATATTTATATTTGGATTGTAATTCTTCAAGTGTATTGAATAATCTTGAAAGCGTAATTCTATCTAATCTTTCTTTCCATGCTTTATTTATAATTTACAAGAAATGAAAATTAATAAACAATGTAAACTTGCAATAAATCAGTAATACGTATGTATACATACCACTTGTTATTGCTTCTCCTAATTTTATTTGAATGTCTGATTCCCGGTCATTATCAACAGGTCCAAATGTAATCCTTTCTCTCTTTCCTGCTTTTACATGAGCTTCCACTTTTTCAACTTCCCACCCTTGATATGGAATTTTTTCAAAAGTTAATTCCCAAAGTAACATTCCAAAGCTATATAAAATTAAAACAAAAAGAATTAATAAAGTTTTTTTTTTTTTTTTCAAGTTTTCATACGTATTATTTAAAATCATACCTAAAAATTTCACATGTAATATCGTATCGGAAGTTATTATTAGCTATTTTTTCGGGAGCTAACCAATGAACTATCTCTAAATCAGGAATTTTTTTGCTCTCCGCATCTGTTGTACGAGCATAATCAAAATTCGTAAGTTTTGGTTCTAAATTCTTTGTTAACATAACGTTCTCACATCGCAAATCGTGATGCAAAATTTTCACATAATCCAAGAAAGCGATAGCTCGACATAGGTCAATCGCAATATGTAATTTTCTCATCCAAGGGATGTCAAATTTTTCATAAACCTCTTTCAAATTTCCATAATGAGCCCATTCTAATATCATACAATCTTCGCCATTTAATTTCGTCAACCCATAGAATTTAAGAATATTCGTACAATCAGATAATTTGGATAAGATTGCAAGTTGACCTTGTTGTTTCTTGTAATTTCCTTGACCTTCATTGTTTGTTTGAACTTCCTTATTTAATTTGAAAGGTTTGCATGCAATTTCTATGGTACTTTTATACTGTTTTCTTATAATATGTTTGTTGCTACCACGAAAATCAGTATGATCAGTGACCAAAGGATCCTTTACATCCTTCTCATCTATTTGGTTAGGTTTTACATTTATCCCTTTTCCACTTTCAATACAATCTCTCAATTGTCTTACTATTTCAAGAATGTCATCTATTTGATCCGCAGATTGTTCGGTAACATTTTTAATATTATGCATAAACTGTAAAAAATATAAAAGAAAAAAATAAATTTTATTCTTAAAAATAAGAAAATTTAATTTCATAAATTCTTAAAAAAAAAAAAAAAAACTGACGTTGTTCATCTCACTCATATCTTCCTTTAAACATTCATTATCGTATCGCCTTTGTTCTTCATTTGCAATAGCCATAGTAAAGTTTAAATCTTTCATAACCTGATCATAATCATTTGTGAGAGTTTCAAATCGCTCTTTAACAGAATTAGTTTTAAAATACTTTTTACATCCATGAAGAGTGGATACTTCTTTGGAAAAAATTTTAATTTCCTCTAAAACGTAAACGAAACGATTAAATGCTTTATACCATTCTTGATTTTTAAAATCCTTTCCAAGTAATTTCCTACGTCGTTGCAAAGTATCGATGGCAAATTCTGCTAATCTCGTTCTATCATATAAAGCGCTAACAATATTTTTATTTGATTTCGCTTCTTTATAGATGGTTATCATCTCACTAATAATCATAGTCGCTGTACCTATCAATGGAAGGAAAGGTCCCATTGTATCCGCTATGTTACCGACGAATTTTATTGCTCCTTGTGCCATGTCCAACTTGTCAATGACGATTGCCGCCGATTGAGCTACTTCAATTGCTCCATTTAATACTTCAGGCGTTGCACTAACGATATCTTGTGATTCAGGCATTTTCTTTCTGATAGAAACAAAAGGCTAAATGACTTGAATTTATATATCAAAAAGTAATGGATCACAAATTCGCTCATTACCGTTTTTGGATATAATTGAAACCTTGTTTTTTAACTTTATTAGTTACATCGAGAAAGATAAGGAGGTAAAAATAAATCCCCTTAGTTTCAATGAAACGATCGATGTAATAGAATAAGGATTTATTAGGAAAGTGAAACCTCATTGGTTTTTAGAAATTCCTTTTTATGGACCAGATTTATTGATAGCATACACTTTTATGTTACAGCATGATGCATAAAATAAAACCAAGAAACATAACAACGCAAATGGCTAAACAATCTTTCATTATATATTGTTCTATAATTGAGATATTTAATTTTCATGCATTCTAAAAAACTTTGTTTCGTTCGAAACGAAACAAATGATCATAATCCAATCAAATTTCAGAGTCCAGCACCAAATATTTACACAATCAGCAAATCAAATTTGTATTTTCAACACTTTTTGTTGGACAAATATTTGCCTCAATAACTTTTGATTTTGGTTCGGGTATTCGTGAGATTTCCGAGTAGTTATTAATTTCAAAAAAAATAAAGTTAAACCAGTTATACTCGTTTCTTATCATTATCAATTTATTACAATATACTGACAATCATCATTCCTTTAACTGCCAATACTTAAGATGAGCTAAACACATAAATTTATATTATTTCATTTCAAATTTCAACATATATTCTATAAAAATATAATTAGTTAAAATTAAAAAAATCAGATATAATAAATTAACTAAAAATTAGCCTATTTCACTTAAATTAAATATCATCAAGAATTAGCCAAACTTTAACTTAAATGATTAGCATAATCAAATTAAATTAATAAATTCAGACGAATTTTTATCAAAAAAAATTTAGATAAAATAAAATTTGAAAAATATTTATTTAATTATATTATAATTGGTATTCTCTATTAATTAGATTAATAGCTAAAATATTATTTTGCTTTTTCTTAAATTAAAATTTGATAGTTTACTAATATAAATTGATAATATACTGGTATTATAATCATGATTTTTTCGATTAAAATCTGTTTTACTAACCTAAAATAACAATATATTTATTTATTATACCCTTATATATTATGATTTAATTAATAAAGTTAAAGAAATTTTCATAATTTAACATATAACGTAATTAAGATTATTTGTCTAAACTCATTTTAATTTAATAAAATATTTAAAACTAAATTTTATCTTTTATTATTTAGATAACTGCAAAATTCTAAAGTTTCATCCACTAACCTTATTTGAGTTTGGTTTAATTTAACCGACAGGTATATTTTACTGATACATTTTACTGACATCAAATTACTAATATATTATTTTATTCTATAGAAATTTTATATGATAATTACCAATTAAGAAAATTCAAATTCAAATAAACTATTTGATAATCAGATAATAAATACAATATAAAATACTATTTATTGTAAAATACAATGCAAAATATTACTTAATATAAAAAAGGTTTATTTAATGTATTTAAAATATTATATTCTAAATGAAGTTAAAATTATTTTATATATTATTATAAATACAATCAATAACAATTTTTTTTCTTATTTTTTTTTTCTTTAAATTTTCTAATAAATAATATTATTTGTGAAGCTATTTTTTGTACTCATAATAAATTTTTATAGATAACTTATAGTTAAAAATAAAAATAGAGAAAATTTATATTATTGATATTGTGAAAAATGAAACTTATTAAAATGTTATAAAAGAGTCACTATTAAATTAATTAAAGATTAGCATTATCTTTAAAAATTTCAGATTATAACTATGCTGCTGAAACCAGTCATATTAATGTAATAAAATTATTAATATATTAAAAGAATAGTCATAACAAATAAATAAACAGTTTGCACAAGTTATTCAAACTTTTATTACAAATAATTCACATGAAAAATATTTATATTTATTATATGTAATACACTTTATTAAATAGTTAAGCGAGTTTGATATGTTAATATTCCTACAAAGTCAATATCTTTAGAAAATTTTACCATTCATTCTGAAAATATGCAAGTAACTTTAAATAGATTAAAGTTTTTAATTAGAGATTCAATCATAAGTAATTGAAGAGTATTAATATTTATAACTGTTGTTTATATAATATATTTAGCATAGTTACTATTCTGGATTATGAGTGGTACTTTTAAGACAGTTCTAATAATTTTCAAACAACTATACACAATTTATAGACATATTAGTAAAGATGAAAATTTACTAATTATGCCACTTATATTTGCATTAATATTTCACAAATTTGAAGAATACTATAGAATATTATTTTAAAATTTAATTAATTTTAGTGACAAGCATAATGTTGATTTATAATCACAGTTTATTTTAATAGATTTTAAATAAGCTGCAATTAATACTATCTATATAAAATTTCAAGGAATGCAAAATAAAAGTTATCATTTTCATTTATCTTAAAATATATATTGCAAAGTATAGACTTTTAGTTTAACTATTCAGTATAGAAACTGATGAAAATTTTAGTTTATTAATTTATCATATTTTAGTACTTGCTTTTTTACCTCATAATAAATTTATGCAGTCAATGCTCTTTATAACAAACTGATAGTTCTATTAAAAAAAGTTTGTTATATAAATTACTATATTTTTTATATGAACTATTACATTTTTTATAACGAATTATTATTAAAATTTAAAAATTATGAGTTCGTTATATCTAGCATTTATTATAAAGAGGTTTATTATAATCAGCTTTGACTATATAGCTTTTAATAAATTAAAAACTAATATATCAAAATAAGCTAAATTTTAGATTAATTTGATAATTATTAGTTCATAAAAAAATTAGATATACATTATCAAATGGAAATGTAATTCAGTCTGAACTATTTTTTTCACTTTAATTTGGTCTATCATTGATAATATTAAATATTCATTTTCAAGAACTCAAAATAATGTGAAGGTTTAGCATAGAAAATAGGAAACATTAATAGATTATGCTCATGTAAGTGTATTTAAAATTATAAAGAAATATAAAATGAGCAAAAACAAGTGCAACTTCATGTAGAATTTATTTTGCGAGAAGTATCATAATCATAACAAAGAAAATAAGGTTGTATATAAGAAGATCATATACAAATAATATATAATGATCACAAAAATAGAGAACTTATAAATTACTTTAAAGGAATTACTCATAATCTTTTATTTTAGATTTGTAATTTATTAGATAAATAATATTTGTTTATTGTAAAATATAAAATTTTCTTATTCAAATTACTAAATAAAAAATATATAATTTTAAAATTTATTATTTTCAGTAAAATAACTATATTAGTAAAATAACTATATTAATAAATTGAATGTGACTCTCTTATTTATATATAATAATCTTTTATATTTTGATATTAAGCATTTTTAATATTTATTATTTAATCTTTAATATATAAAAAATTAATCTTTTAATAATAATAATAATCAAAAAAATAAATTCAAATTTTATTTGATAACTTATTATTGATTAGCAAATTTTACGTAATATTAAAAATTATCTTTTCTATTAACAATATTATATATTAGATGAATATAGTGAGTTTTTTTTATAATTGGATAATTATATATTAATCTAATTAGTTAATAATAATAAAAAATTTAAAAAATTTTAATTTTTTAAGTTAATATTTATATAAAAATATTATATAAAAAGGATCAAATTATCTTTAATAAATAAGAAATAAAAAAAAATTATTAAAAAATGTTTTTATTAAATTATTTTAATATAAAACATATTTAGATATTTATCTAAATTACAATTTATTATTAGTTATTTAGTTTAAAATTTTAAAATTTTTAAATTAAATTATATAATAAAATTAAAATATGAAAGAATAGTTATATATTATTTATAATTTATTAGAAATAATTTTACTTTTTTTTTATTATGTAAATAAATAAGTGTTAAAAATATATATCAATATATAATTCCAAATCTCAATCTTTTTTTTTCTTTCTTTATATATATACATATAAAATAATATATTACAAAGAAATCTTTATTAGCTAAGTTCTGAATTATTTTACTTTATCAAATTACTTTAACAGTTTATAAAACAGAAGGTATATTTTAGAAATTTTTTATTACAACCTTTATGAATTTATCTTTGTAAATGTGAATCTATTTAAAGATAGATGATCATCTTTTTTATATAAATTTAATATATAATAATTCTTTTAAAAATTAACCAATTAGACTTAAATCTGCGTTTATTAGATATTGATTTATATATAGTCACACCTTAATATAATGAAGTTGTCAATTTAGCTGATCAGGCCTTCATTTTAAGAATCTTTGTTAACGCTATAACAAATTATTCAGTATGTATAATGAATAATTCATTATAGCGTTAATGAATTATTTATAATAGTAGATAATTACTGATTTTATTATACAAATATAATTTTACTATGATATAATTTTTTCAGAAATATTTTCACATTATTTTGTAAATTCTAGTCATTTTATTTTAATATGCAATCTGTTAATCATTGTATAATAGTTTTATTAATTTACTTAAATTTTTTTTTAAAAAAAAAATTATCATTTTTTTAAAATAAAATAAAATAAAATAAAAGAAAAAATAAAAACAAAACAAAAAGAAAACAAACCAAGATGAAAAAACGAAATTAAAAAAACTAAATAAGATGTAAAAATGAAATTAAATAAATGATATGAAAAAAAATGAAATTAAATGAATGAAACAAAAAAAATGAAAATTTTATTGCCTTGCAGGCGTTACAAGCACGTTGCAATTTCGCTGTCTATTTCAGTTTTGCCTCGCAAGCTTATTATAGTTTTGCCTTGTATTTTGTATTTGCCTTGTAGTAAACAAATTACAATTTCTCCTTCGAGTGTGCCTCGATTCTAAAAAAAGTAAATATATTTAATATAAATCTAAAAAATCATTTAAACATTTTTAATTATTACCTAACCCATCTCAGAATCAAGTTCTATAGAGGTTATATAATCTTTCTGCAATATAAGTCTATCTTTCACCTCTTTTCGCTTCATTTCTATAATTGCAGAAATCCTAAAAGATATTAATTATACTGTTAAATTATATTTATCATTATATTGTTATTTATTTATTTACTTACGTTGTAATCATGTATTAAATTCCTCCATTTCAACTCGTATTGGCGAGTAGAATATGCCGTATCGTATCTTCGATTGATTCGTCAAGCTACACTCCTCTAGAACCCTGTATTATTGTCTCTGTACCTTACATGATACTCTTTATTTCTCCTTCTTCTTTCCTTTACTAACAAATCTATTTCATTATCCTCCCAAATTATTCTTGTAGTCATATTTGTATTTATAAAAAAATATGATTTAAAGGTGAAAATTAAAGTGATTTAAAGGTGAATTTAAGATTCAAAAGGTAAAAAATTATACAATAGTAAAATATAGATGAGTGTTGACTGATCAAACACAGACATCAGTTTACTATGCTTGTATTTTAAAATCAGTAATAATTTTAAAAATTCATCCTTTTTTTTGTATTAATTGCATTATATAATGCACCTAATGTTGCAAGGTAAAGTCCAATTTTTAAAGGATAATAGTTTACAAATTTATTATATATTGCTACTATTGAATAGCATGTATTGACCACCTTTTTTTTTAGTTCCTTTTGAATTATTGATGAGCATATCTCAATCAATAGTAAAGGGATATTTTGAATTGTAAATGATTTGATAATTGATCAATTCATTGTTACTAATCAAAATCAATTTAAAAGGTATCAGTTCATTGTTTGAGGAAACTCATTCCTGATTCAAATGTGTGGATTTTCTGTATCAACAATAAATCGGCTACTGCTTTTGTTAACAAATATCATATAGAATTAGATGTCTTTTCTATAGCTACACCATATTCATGATAATAATGATAAAACCTTGATTATTATGCTAAAAAATCAAAATAAAGTAAAATTATTATAAGATTAGTATAAAAGATATCTTGAGTAGAAATTAACTTTTTTTTTAAAAAAAAAAAATTGGTCGTAAACTTTATCTGAAAGTGGAGATTTCAAGAGTAAAACAGAGAATTCGGGATGCGCTAAAGCACCAACAGTATACCATCGCAAGATACTAAAGCGACCACAAGGTGGCAACAGTATACCATGATGATAAAGCAATCGCAAGGTGAAAAGTATACCATCATAACCACTCATAATGCTCCTATTTATCATCATCAGAAACCTTTAAAATATTAACGAAATACTCACATAATTCGACATGCTTATTGTTGAATATCGTCTGATCAATCAAGGATTTCAAGAGACATCCGGACAAACTATACGGGAGCGTTGTCAGTAAAATTACGGCTCATAAGATTTAAATTACTGGCATATAGATAAAAAGCCTAAAGTACTTTTTCAGACAAATAGTAGTTTGTCCGTTTTATATTTTTTGTAGCAATATATACCGCGTGACCTTGAAATCGGCAAGTATGATCGTTATATGTCTTGATTTTCTGAAGTTTTCCGAGCGTTATAAACAATAGTAGTAGACACGATAAGAAGGCCTGGTAGACTGAGCCAACGAGCAGCTTCTATTTAAGTCCAAGAAAGAAGAGCTTCTCAACATATGGGTAATATTTGCGGATCGATATTTTTTCAAGAAAGAAGTGAATGACCTCATGTAGTTTGGAGGCGTAAGCATAGTCACTTGATTGGTCGATGATCAAATTTTTTTCATTAACTTTTAGGGATGGGGACGGTTCTACCGGTTCCTCTTCGGTTCTACTTTGACTCTTCTTGAGTAAATTAAACTTTGAGCGTTAAAATTAATTTATACTAATAGAGCATCATGTGATGATCAATTTAAAAAAAAATTTTTTTGACTGGTTATCAAACAAATTCGTCCCTATTATTACCTTTAATTTGATGACAATCCGGTCCGGAGTCGGTTCCGGTTCGATTTTTAAAATTGGTTAAAAATGGTTTGTAACTCAGGAAAACCCAAAATATGTTGAATTTATAATCGGTTCCAGAACCGACTCGGAGTCGCTCTTTTTGAACCGTCCCCATCTCTAGTAACTTCCAAATAAAAATTCAAAAAATCCGGACTTTGATTTGATAATTAATATCAAAAGATAGATCAGAATAACCCTTAAGGGTTTCAAATAAATAATACCATTTGAGCCTTTCAATTTATCATGAGTGTTACTTTTTTTTCCGGAGGGTGATTTAATTACAACATTCGAATTATAGAGAAGTTTCTAAAATTGTCGTGATATGGTTAATACGTGATAATATTTTGAATCCTTACCAAGTTTTACTTGATGGTTTCAATTTTCATAAAAGCATCGGTTCCATCTTTGAAAAATCATGACAGTCCAGTTACCACAGTGAATATTTTAAACATATTGTTATATTGTCGAATCGGGAACTCTTCTAATTCAATCTGAAAAAGTTGCGATTTCGCCTATCTATTAAATACTGTAACTATGCAGTTTACATAGATTGGATAATAAAATATTTTCTAACCGATCATTTGTTAACGATGGTACCAAATAATGTTCTTTTTTTCTTGTTTAAATTAAAATTAAAATAATAAATTATAGAACTGGAAATTAAATGCTGGTAAAATATTAACTTTGAGGACGTTTTCGGTAAGGAATATTTCTTGTTTTTCCCAATCCTTTGGTATCGATTATTGAAAAAAGCGTTTATAAAATATAATCTTATTTGATTTTGTCCAATTGAAAGTTAAATTTGATTACTTCAGAACGTGGATACAATTTGCGAACGTAGATAATTATTTTATTCTAAAAAAAAAATTGTTCAAATCCATTTAAAACACTTACAATATAATCAAGATGAATAATACGATAATGATCATTTTATGAGATGATTGTAGCATAGCAAAAGATTTTCTAGAAAATCGACTGATAATTTTATGAAGAATTATTTTATCCACCTTGCGGTTTATGAATGTTTAAAACCGTAAAAATATACGACAATCCAGGTAACATTTTTTATGATTTTAAAAACATCATATCTTTATTTGTCTTAATGAAACATAATAGAAGATAAGCTACGAATCAAAAAATTTTTAGGATCCCTTCACTAATGCTTTGATAACATCATCGATAGAAATAGGAGTGAAGCTGAATTTATCGTTATCTGTCTTTGCGAATCGCGTGTTTTCGCAAATAAAGGCTTGCAATTCCTCAAGAGGTGAGGGAACTGGGTCGATCTTTTCTAGGAAACGTTTTCGTATTTCCCTATCTTCAACAACTTCCCACTTGGAGCCTTCATACAAAGAGTCGTCATTAACTACCGTTTTTAAATGTAATAGTTTAGAATGAAAAGTTAGATACTCACCAGAAGCTTCTTCAAACTTTTTAAGCAACTCATTGAATGACAAGGTGTCGGCAGCAACTCTTATATAAGCGTTACGAGCATCTGGGATTTTAAGTGACTCAACCGTGTATTTACCAACATCATGTAAAGAAGTTGCAGAAATTTTTAAGTCGCGATCGGTCATGAACGTGACTTTCTTGTTCTTAACGTCAAATCCTATAAAGTCAAGGTATTCAGAGAATACCCCGTTATTTATGATCGTATACTCAAGTCCACTTTTTTCAACTTCTGCTCGGAATTTTGATTTGTCATCCGAGAAAGGATGACTTACATCCCTTTTTTAAAATGAAATTATTAGGAATCACAACACATTAACCAAAAAAGATGATGAAAAATATAATCAAATAACGTACGGAAATTCGCTACCAAATTCAGACGGGATGAATCTCTTTACACCGGCTTCTTTTGCGGAAGTCAGTAGTGGTAATTGAGCATCGTAAAAGGTATCATTATTACCTTGTGTCCTTACGGCACTGATCAGAACATCGGTTCCTTTAAGAGCTTTGACAAGCTCATCTTTTTGACTATAATGATTTCTGCGCCTCTTTCGGCTAACGAACTAGCATTCGCGTTTACGTTTTCCGGCTTTCTTCGAAGGATTTTCACCTTGTAAGATCCATCATTCAAAAAAGCGTCTGCGACATGATAACCTAATGTGCCGGTGGCTCCAGCAATGGTTACGGCGCGAAATGATGAGTCGCTCATGATGTTTCGTGGATATTGAATAGAAATCTTTTTGTTTAAAAACTTTTTTTTAAAAAAAGGTGAGCTATATATAAATCAAAAAAAGCGCCAATTTTTTTTTCTTTGCAGAAATACAAAAAGGTATTGAATTGATTAAATAAATATACTTTTACAGAAAAAAAAAATTTACGTTGATTATAGAAGTTGAATAATGAAAATGCCTAATTCGAAAAAATTATTGTATTTAGTCATTTATGTATTTATAAACTGTAAGCAGAAGGTTTGTAAGTAATCATGATGTGACGCTAGGAGCTTATTAATTTAACAGCAATTCTATCCAATAGCCTAATATAGTAAGGTCAAGGCGCAGTAACATTTTTAAATAAATTATGGATTGGAGGAATATCTCGAAACGGTTTATTGAACGACGATGTCCAATTTTAATTATTAAATTGTCTATCGTTCTAAAACTTTTATGATAATTTATTATACTTGTATGATTAAAAAAGTAAATTATTATATAGTTAGTTCGACTTATTAATCAAAAAAAAATTTGATGGAGGGTCTCGGAGGTCCTTTTTGCTAGTCCATGACCCATATTTGTCAATAAATTTCCGGTCTTGTATCAGAAGTATTAATTTAGATATTAGTAAGTAGATATCGCAATTGATATTTTCGCAGATTTTTATTTTTTTTTTAAAAAAAAATATTTGCTTTTTTAGGTAAGATAAAAGTTTTATTTGATTCTTTATATTATTAACTAGGGTGGCTTTGAGGCGCCACGCCGCTGCGTTGCGTTTTTTTTTTCTTTTATGGTGTTTGGTTTTCTCGTGTAACATTTGTGACATTGTCGATATGAACGT